GGGTTGCTGTCAATGAACTTAAATTAAGTTACCACACTGAGTATATAGGGTTTAGGGTTTAAATTTACAGCCCTAGGCTCTCCATGGATCTGTTAACAGGGCCTCCCTGGAAGGCTTTCACCATCCTCACAGGCTGTTTGGCCAAGGAGGCGCAAGGGATGACAACTAGGGTTTAGGGTTTAAGGTTTCCTGGAAGAAGCATTGGCAGTTTCCAAAAAAAACATGAAGACCCCTACTATACTCCTTGTTATTATGGAACCCAAAACCCTAATTCTTGGAAATCTAGCAATGGGTAGCTCTGTACAACGGGTTTTTCGGGGATCTATGAGACGGGCCCTAGGTTCCTAGAACCAGGATTACCTATTTTAGAGTCTATTTGGATGGAGGCTCCCCATAGAATGCTTTAAACCTTGTCCACTTAATAGTCACCGCATGTACTATAGTCTAAGCTCCTTAAAGTGGGTTATATAGGGGATTAGATAAGGGACTAGTATAGGGGTTAATAAGGGGGGGGTACTAGGAGTTTAGACTCTGGCTCGCATATTTTTCAGGATGCCCCGTTGAGAGATGGGGCTTCTCAACAATTGCAGCTCCCTTCTGGGAGCTTTGTAGATAGGGGGGAGTATCTGAAGCAGGACAGTGGTGAGGGTTTTCAAGAACAGGCTCCCTTGCCTGGGCCTAGGCGGATTATCTCGCCGATTTTCTCGGTTTAAGGTGCAGTTACAGAGGGGCGCAACTTCCATTTCCCCTGGCTCCCCTCCCTGCCTGCCTTGTTTGGTCCTGATTCTAGGAGGCGACTCAGACGGAGGAGTCCAAGCTCGAGACTGCAGCCTGCAAAACCTCGCTGGGAGAGCTGCACTGGGTGGGAGCGGGAGTGCCCCGCAACCTGACCCGGGTGCGGCTGCCCAGCTTTTTACTTGTTGCAAGAGTGACTGATGATGGTTCACGATCATAAATTGTGGTTCTTTTAAAGTGCCCAATTATTCTATATTAAATGGAGTGATCCGTGGTGTTTTCTTTGACCTCGTATCTTGGCATCCATCCTGGCTGAGGCCAGGGAGCTCTTCGAGGAAGCAGCTGCCATTGGCGAGCCAGATGCACAGTACAACCTGGCCATCCTCTACGCTTCCATGGCGGAGAGCAGCGAACCTTGGTGCGGCTGGTGGAGGGTTGGGGGTGTAGGAGATGGCATAAGGGACTGAATGATCCCTGCAGACTTAACATGATGCCAAATGTTCTGTTTTTTACATCCAAAATAGAAATAATTCAGGGAGCAGCTAAGGATGACTTGCGGCGCAACGAGGCCAGCGCGACACCCGAAACCTCTTAGAACACAGCCGCTCCAATCGCCGCCAGGCCCTAGCTGTTCTCCATCTCTATGCTGCGTCTACAGCAGGCTCGGGCGGGTCAGAGTTCTCGTCATGCCCTTGAGGTAGCGCAATGGTAGCAGCCCAGTGGCAGCAATAGAATCCTGTGAAGGGGCATAGAATCTACAAAGCACCCGCTGAGATACTACGGCCAAGCCCTCAAGCCCCTAACTCCTAACCCGTAAGCCCTTAATCCTGCAGGCCATCCAGGCGCCTTGATGGCCATGGGCTATAGGCACTTGCATGGATATGGCGTACCGCAGGCAGGGGCAGAGAACAGAATCCCCTGGCGCTTCATGGGCAACGTGGGTATTTCTGGAAGTAGGGTCCCTCATTGCAATTACCAACACTTAGAGGGACTGCCAAGAATCACCCCTGATTGCTGGCACCCCCGCATCCCTGACTCCCTACCAAGCACCAGGTGGAGAATGATGATAAAATCACTACAAGAGCAAGGGTGATATGAGGATCAAACTGTAGAGAGATGAGGGTGATGACAAATTCTCGTTAGCATCAAGCCAAGTATCACGAGTATGCCCACCAGCAAGGTTTATCACCCTAAATCCTACGCTTAAACTCTGATCATACCGGCTAAACCTTAACTTCGAGAGATTGCGTGGCCTACCCTAGCTCTTAAACCCAGTCATATCCATTGCTTGACCCCGGGAGGCGTGCACTACAGCAGCTTTGAACTACATCGATGTTGCCAAGGGCATTGCCAGCATATTCTCCTCCGGAATGCCTCAAGCAGTGGAGCTGCCAAGAGGCAGTGGTAAGACGTAAAGGTGCTTGCACATTTTTCTGCTGCTACGCAGCACTCCCTAAGGACCCACAAGTCCTTGACCAGATGATTTTGGCTATGGGGATCCGGGATAGGGCATGTTAGAGGAGCAGTTTGTTTTTTTTGACGAGTCCCCAATCAGCCCTTGCCCATAAACTTCTGAAGTCAGACGGTGGTAAGGCTGGTTAGACTGAACCTTCCGCAGAAGGACCGGAAGGCCGGCAAGAGCTCAGCAGTTGAGTAGTCTTTAGTCTCTGTTTTGGGTTGGTCCTGAACGTGTGCAATCCGTAGACTTCTTGATGTTTGTTGTCTTCTCCTATTCTTATAATATCGGTTCACTCATTAGTGTGAGGACAAGTCTGTCCGCTGAAAGGTCATGAGCAGTTCCGAGCTCAATCTCTTCGTTCAGATCGCCACGAGCGGTGACAGCGCTGTCGCCGCGGCGATCGGAAAGCGCTACCTCTTGGGAATCGAGGGCTTCAAGCAAGACTACCAGAAGGCTCATGATTTGGTTGTGAGGTGTGAAATCCTGAGGGGGGCTTGTGCTAGACATGCCCTAGCCATGTCACGTGGACTGCCACATGGGCCTCCAAAAAAATCGGAAACGGACTTTGAGGCAGACACAGGGGAAACCACAGATATAATGTCTTTCACTAAGACCCCCTCCACCCCTTCATGGGAGCTATAGTCTAAACTCCTCTTGAAGGATATACAGAGGCTTCATAGGGAAAAATGTAGAGTTTATTTAAGGTGACACTAGGAGTTTAGACTATAGCTCACAGGATTTTGCTGGCTACTGGGGGTTCATGTGAGGCCAAGCAGTACCTGAAGATGGCTGCCAATCGGCAGCACTCTGGGGCCTTGGCCCTCCTTGGCTACATGTACTGCTTAGGCGTGAGGGCGGCTAGATTGGGGAAGGTGCCAAAATATATCAGGTTCCTGGAAAAAAAAAAAGCAGGTTCCTGGCGCTTGCAGAGCTAAGGATTTTATGTGTTTGGGGGGCTTTGGAATCTGATCATAGCAATTTTGGAGGCCTCGGCACACCGCAGAACTTGGAAACGGCCTACGCCTACTTCGTTACTGCTGCATCCTCAAACGACCCTCTGGGCCATAATGGCCTCGGGTATATCTACTTCCGCGGCACGAACGCGCAGGCACCTTGAAATTCTGGGGTACTTCAAATCATTCCGACTGAGCTTTGTGTAGTTTTCTGAGGTACCTACCTAGCTATAACCCCTATGCCCTATGCCATCCCTATAGAATCCCCAGAAAGCATGCCATGCTCAGCCACGTCTGGAAGCAGAAGTTTGGGCGTGGGTCCATTCTTGTGGTTTGTCAGACTGTATCTTGTAGGTGTATGAAGGAAGTCCTGTTGCGAGAGATGACTATGCGTCAAACAGATATTATTTTCTTAGCCTGCAGAGTTAGAGATTTTCCAGCAACTATGTCGAGCTCATTTTTGGTTCAGGCATACATGTGTGTACGTGCGTGTGCATCGTAATGCATATGATGAGCAGCCGTAAGGAATCGACAAATCACATGAATCAATATCGAACGCCATTGAACGCCATCAACAACATACGCATACAGGCAGGAATACATATCAATCATGCAGGTGTAGAGAACTTTGCAAATACAATCCTTCAGCGGGCTCTGAAAATCTCCGCACAATCCCTGCGATACACCTAGTGACCCTAGTGTTCCATGGGGCCTCCTATTGTGCAAAACCTCAACATGTGCTGGAGGCGCGGAACCTCCGCTTGGCCTTCAAGCACTTCAACGAGTCTGCGTTTGGGGGCTCTTCGGATGGGATGTTCAACCTTGCAAGCATGCCCCACCTGCATGCTTGATGCTGTTGGTCGCGGACATCTTGCACCATTCCCATTAAATCTCTAAGCAGGTCGACTATGACTCGCGCGAGATTTCCTCTCCATTCCCCATAAGGCCACCACCAACAACAACAGCAACAATAAGAACAGTAGAAGAGAAATGGCTATCGTGGCAATCGAATGGCAGAGATGATGCCGAAAAAATGCTACAGGCAATACCTGGCAGCAGCTCCAATGCAATCAGGGTTCACAGGATTCTTGGCGTAATGCTCACCTTCCCATGGAAACGTTGTCCATCACAACTTGCCTTTGGCATCATCATGTGAATAATTATTGTTAGCGACATGCATCAACTTCGAAGCTCAAGATGATGCAGATATGAAAGGCAGCAAAGGGGAATGGATGGCCATGAATTCCAGTTTTCTGGATCATGTCTCCATACCATACACTTCCAGAGGTCACAGCCTTGTAATCCTGTGCTGCTCTAGAATGACATGCCAGGTACCTCACAGGTTCAGGGACTGAACAGAGCTTCCAGAAGGCTGTGCTGTACTACACGCAGGTACGGGACTTGAGTTTCCAGGCTGTGCAGTTTCAGGAGCCACCTGCCCATGAGGCCCTAGATCGTGGTCACACTCCCGCGGCCTACTCACTTGCTGTGATGCACTTGAATGGCATCGGGTCCGGCCCTTATCTTTTGAGTTTCCGCGTTGCGTGTGACTTTCTCTGAATAATCCAAATTACAGTTACAATCCCAGAAGGGGACTCCTATGATCTCCTTTTGATTTCCACATGTCTCTGGGGCTGCTTTGGTCCGAAGAGGACCGTGAGAGATTGCGACATTGCTGTGAAGCTCCTCAAGAAGGCGGGAAGTGCTTGAGATCACTCAGCCCTCATCTTCCCCATGCTAAGGTGCGAATGGGGGAATGGAATCCCAAGAATTGTCACTGTGCAATCCCCACCTGAGTGACCTCTGGGTGAGTCATTGGCCGAAGCCTACAATGCATCAAGGCCAATAAGCAGTGGCAATAGCAGCTGCCGCGGTAGCAGTAGCAGCAGCAGCAGCAGGAGATGCTGTGTTTTGCTGCAGGTTTGCGAGCGCGGTGAATGGGTCTCAAGCAAGCTGGTCAGTGCCTACGATTTCAGTCGCAGCCTTTGAGCGGTCGGTACAAGGTAGCTTCACTCAGCATTATCAAACGAGATGGCAGCTCTCTGAAGTGAAAGCAGCTCTGAGCATCACATCCCAAGCTTGTATCTGCTTCTTGGCGCCTTGCTTCCCCAAATACCAACTGCCCTGTTCCCCAACTCATACCTTGAGGCGAGAAGCAGCCGGACAGAGCTGCCCTGATGTTTCTGAAGCTTGCGGAGGCCGGCCATGAGGCTGGCAGTTGCAGCAAACAGGGCTCCTGCCACAACACGAAGGTCGTCATAAGGAATAGACGTAGCAATGACAGTACTCGTGGTAGTCGAGTATCAATTCTGGTTCTTGTTCTTCTGGCGATGGTGGTGGTTGCGGTGGTGATGGTTAGCCAGTGATCTAATGTCAAATGGTGTTGTGGAGTTGTATCCTAAGCCATCCAAGGATGTAAGGATACCTCCAGTTTTGAGCAAGCCCCAGCGCTTTGCATCAGGTTTCCCAGATGAACGTCGCTCATCTCTTCGATCATGGGCAGGCTTCCCTACTGTCCCCAGAAGCACCATCTGCAGGCAAGTGGTGCCAAGGGTTCAGGAGCTGGGTGAGGGTTCCAGGGTTTGCAGGTTTGGGCATTTCAGGGTTTGTGGTTTTGATTATGTGGAGGCTTGGGGTTTTGGGATCATATTGAAGACTGCCAGTAACCTAAATTGCCGAAGACTTTCAAGTGGTCGGTTGAAGAGCCTTGTCTGTTGCCTCGGCTTCTCTCAACGTCTTTACATTGTGGTCTGTTGTCATCATGATTCTTGTTGTGACGAGCTTCAAGGTTACAGTTGCTAGGAGACGTCCGTTTTGCGCTGACTACTCCGCAGTTGTTCTGCTGAGCTGTCCAGCATACCATGTTAGCCAAATGGATAATATAAATATATATACACATATTTTTGAATGTGTGTCTATTAGTAGATATATATATGTATATATATTCGCGCCAAGCTGTCCAGGGACTAGGCCATCATAGGCCCAGAACGCGACCAGAATGACCCAAAAGCCTCTTTCCATGGAGAGCCCCTCTACATGTCTCGATACTGCTACTGCTGCAGGAATCTACAAGCCTAGATGTGTTTCAGGAGTCAGAGCATGTGAACAAAGCGACATCTACTCTCAGCAAGTATGTCAGTAATCCTGTCAGTGACCCCTGTTGTCACCAAGTCCCTGTCTCCCTCCAAGTGAGCCCAGTATGCAGATCATCCGCCAGCACGGCATGATGACTTCTTCTGGGAGACGTCGCCAAGGCTTCAGAACCAAAATGTGGCACAGCCTTGCCCTCAGTTGCTTACTCAAAACCATGAATTTGCTTCAGGCTCATTTTTAACATTCATGCAGACATTTTACTGTTTTCAAGGATACCTAGGAAGCTTGACGGCGCTGTCATTTAGACGTCTCCCAGATGCGCCCCATGAGGTGTTTCTTTTGAGATGCTCACATCCATGTGTTACACACAAAGCTCAGAGTCATGAAAGTGGTTCACCTCCAGTAGCCACCAGTTACAGCTAGGCACCTGTGCGCACCTCAGAGCAATGCCCAGGCGCTTCTACGAGCTTTCGGCGGAGCAGGGCAGCGCCTCATCGGAGCTACGCCTGGGGGACTATGCCTACTACGGTCAGAGCCCTTAGAATGGAGCAACTGCCCCAAGCAGCTGCGACAAAAGCCGTTTTCCCTACCCCGAAACGCCCGAAACGCTCAGGCTGGGGCATGTCCGCGCGCTTCACGGAGGCACCGCTGCCCTCGGAGTCAGAGCAGGTCGAGGCCGCCCGGCCCGAGTCCAGCGACGGTGAAGGCTGGGATGACTTCCCGCTGCCCTCCATCTACACGAACGATAAGGTGGAACTCCACCCGCAAGCTGTAGACTACGAGGAAGCACTGGCACGGTACCGGAAGACGGCCGACATGACCGTCACGGGCGAATGGATGCAGTCCTTCGTGGCCAGAGCCTCCTTCAACCTGGGCTTCATGCATCAGTTTGGCATAGGGATTGTTCAGGACAGGGATATGCAGGCTGCATGAATGAGGAGATGGTAGGGGTCGCCTGCGGTCTGTTGGGCTTGTGGGGAGTTGCAAAACATGAGGGTCCAATGTTGGTACCTCCAAATATTAGGTGCCGTAATATGATTCAGAACCGAAAGGGGCCCATGATTTTGATGATAACAATAGCGCGTGTGTCAAGCGATGAATGCTGCAGCTGCCAGGATCTGAACATGGCAAAGCAGCACTACTTTCGATGCCGAGAGGTCGACCCGAGTGGCTTGCATGCCCCGGTCACCATGGCTTTAGCTGCACTTGCTGCTCATGTGCAAAACCGGCATGTCTTTAAGTGAACCCCGCACGCGTTCTTGCATGCCAGTTTAGATCTGCAGCCAGGCTGTATTTGCGGCTTCCATCGCAAGAGGAGACAATCAAGCGGTTATCCGCAGACTTGCGGCTGCATTTGCTGCTTCTCCACATAGTTGCAGTCATCGTTCTTGCAAAGCTGGCTCGCTTGCCCTAGCCAGTGCCTCCAGATATCTGCAACATTCTGCAAGCTGTGCACCTGACAGATGTGGCTTCACTGCATCTTGTCAAGTAGACGACGCAGCGTGCCACAGCGGCCACGGCGACAAGACCAGGACCATTGCCATTGGTCACCAAGAATGCTCAGAAGCAGAAGCTACAGCCTTGCAGCCTTGCAGGCCCCCCTGACAGCTGCGACGCAGCCAGCGCTGGGGGAGAGGCAATCAGGCCTCGCTGCTGCTTCAGTGCATTTCAGTGTTCTATGTGAGCGAATATGATGCAAACTGACTCTGCAGGAGCTCTCACGCAGACTGCGGGAGAAAGCCGACGAACTGCCGGCAACGTTGTGCTCGACTGAGCGCCGTCGCCGTGCCCCTGAAGGCCCTAAAAATCGAGGCCATGCAGGCTCAGACCTAGAAGAGTCAAAGCCAAAGAAGCTTCCGCGTTTCACCGCCGCAGGCAACAAAGGGCCCCTTGAGGATGCATCCCTTGAAAAAGTCCTAGCCCGAAACCCTAGAGGCCCAACACAGCCCACTTGTTTGACATGGGCCAGAGTACGGCAAGTAGCCACGGAGCAGCGACTATGTGGAAGGCTCCACCAACTTAATGATAAAGCCCGCAATTCTGATTTTTGAACTTCCACATAGCACACTGCAGATTAGATCAACTCGGCCTTGGGTAGGATGTAGCTTTAGGTAGCTTTAGGTGTCTTGGCCAGAGACCACAGCACCAGTCTGTCCGTCTGCTTCGGGTGTTTGACTGGGCTCGGCAAAAGTGCCTCCTGCTTTGTAAGCAGACTTGTAGAGTCTTGTACACTGCTATGAATCGCTGCCAAGCTTGTGTGTTCCGCAGCTTTGTGAAACAGGATGATAAGATGATGAGATTCTGTGGGCTAGCCAGGCTAGCCAAGTTGCACCGGCTCGTGCAGGCCCCATCGAGGCTTCGTTGCCTCGAAGATGCGCGGTTCTGCGCTGTTCGCTTTTGCGGCTCTGAGGCCCGGCCCAAGACCGGCCGCGGTCGTGGATCGCAGCGGGTGCAAAGCGTGCAAAGCAAGCGAGCCCCTCCACGGCCCCCGACCGCCCTGAATGCGGTTTTCAAGGTTCTCTCAACCCACTGCGAGCCCTACTACACCATGCCCTGGTCTACATCACCGCAGACTACTGCAGCTGCCTCTGCGGTGGCTCTGGTTGTGGAGAGGATACGATATCTGGTTACCAACGCCCACGCCGTCCACCACGCCTCGCTGCTGGAGCTTCAGAAACCCTCGGATGACTTGAAGTGCTTGGCCCGGGTGCTCTGCCAAGGACCAGGCCTCACTTTGTTTGTCTTGCTTCTTTGTGGCTAAGCGAGGCTAGGTCATGTGAGAAAATGCAGCTTCGCCTCTGTTTTGCTCAGATTGCGATCTGGCACTGCTGGAGCTGGTCGAGGAGGCGCCCGGCTTCTGGGAGGGTGTTGAGCCCCTTTCGCTCAGTGAAGACCTGTGCCATCTCAACGACCGAGTCCGAGTTTGTGGCTTTCCAGTGGGTACCCTTCTCAGTTTGGTGACCAGGCAATTCGCATGAACTTGACCGTCAAGCAGAGGTGGCGAGAACATCAGCATCACAGAGGGCATCGTCTCCAGGGTGGGCCACCTTCTTTTGCGAACTGTTACATGCTGCACTGCTGGCAAGCAGTCTGGCGACTGGTGACTAGTGAAGCTTTGGAGTCGGCAAATCTTGTGCATGAAGTTCTCACTGGAATCAGCCCAACTCTGGACAGGTGGAGATGCAACCCTACCGACATGGTTTGGGAAGCCTGTTGGCTATCCAGATTGATGCTGCCATCAACCCTGGACAGCCAGGGTTTCCTCATGCCTGTTTCTTGAGATGACAGTCATAATCAGTGAGGAGCTTCGGCTTACACTTGCCAAGAGATACAAAGCAAAGCAGTGATGTCATTCGTCTGCATTCGTGCGCGAAACATGCATTGAAAGAAACTTAAGTATACCGTCCAGAAGTGGATAACAACTCCATGTTACAACGTTGTTTGGAGACCGATGGACAATCTGTTCGGCCTGCTCACCAACATTTCAAAAAGCAAGGGCTTGCTGCGAGCAGGCCTACAAGGTCAAAATAGACCAGGAAGTGAAACAGAGCCGTCTGGCGCATAAACTGTTTGGCTGTTCCCTGCGCTGCCACTTTGCAATCTGACTCTTGTCTAAAACATAGAGACCCCAAACAGCAAAGAATCTTGAGAAAGATTCCCCGTCTGGGGGCTCTGCAGGAAACAGCGGGGGTCCCGCCCTGGATGCACAGGGCCGCTGCGTGGGAGTTGCCTTTCAGAGCCTCCAAGATGCTGACAACATAGGAGCTGGGGGCTGGGGGTCCGCGGGTCGGGTTTACTTCTGTGGTTCAGGTTTGAGAAACCGTGCTCGAACAGTTTCCACGAAATCCTTCGGGGACATTTAGGGAAGGTCATACCGCAAAGTTCCATGAAATGCGCTATGTCGTATGCGATCTGTTGTCACGGGGAGTAGGGGGATTTTTTTCCAGCACCTGGTACTTCGTACACCGGAGCAGAAGAGGTAACGTGCCTGACATGAAACATCACGTTGAGCGCAGCTTGTGTTCAGAGAACATCCACTAGAGTCTAGTCTACTATTTAAGGGGAGGAGTTGGATCTCGTCGAACAACTGGGGGATAGATCTGTTAATGGAGCACTAGGCGTGTCCCAGCAGGCTGCGTTACGTTGGGCGGTAGGTTGCTGCAAGCTTCTTGGGTCAAAGTCTGCAGTGCTAGATGAGCACGCTCGTAAGCTCTGGCGTTTATTCTCATGTGATTTTTGAAGCTCTTGCTCTTGACAGGATACCTGATCCCTGCTGAAGTACTTCGCCATTTTCTGTCCGGCTACCGCCGCTGCGGAGGCGGTCGCAAGACTTATCGCATGAAATTTCAGCTCATGCTCTAGGAAGACCAGCACTTGTTCTTCATGGCATTTTGTCGAAGTAGTAATCCCTCTTGTACATGCGGGGCACGTAATACTCTTCTTGCAAGGACCTGCGGAATGGGGTGCGTGATCTTGAGACCTCCTGAACCCAACGTACTTGCCTGCGAAAATCATCGCAGATTCCTATCACTCCAACAGAATCCTTGAATCGTTCTAACAAACAGCACTACATGAGCAAGAGACTCAATGTAGCACCCACATCGCGCGCACACTCAATCCGCATATGAATCAGAATTCTCAAAAGCAGAGAGATATATTATGAGCAGGATCCCCAGCCTGTGTATATCTGGAAGCTTCTCAACAGCTAGGAGTAGACAATGTAGTCATTTGGTTGCCATTCTATAGACACCAAATGAGCATCTCGAGCAACCCCATAAAACTCATCCACAGATGGACTGTGCTTTTAATGGAGAAATTGCAGTTCCAAATCAGTTAAGGGTAACATCCACCTTTTGGGTCTTGTATCTTGTAAGGAGAACTTGGTTCAGGCCCAGAGAAAAATCCATAGATCCTAGACTCTAAACGCTAAAGCCTAGACCCTCAACCCAGATCCTACACCCTAAATCCTGGAAGGTTATGCAGGCTTTGGCCACCATGGCTTTGCCTGGCAGCCTTTGGACAACCGGGCCCTCCGCGAGGTAGGGGAAGCTGCGGCTCTTTTACTGTGCCGGGTACCGTTTGGTGTTTCGGGTTTCGGGTTCAGGGCTTCGTGTTTAGGGCTTAAGGTTTAGGGTTTCGGGTTTAGGGTTCAAGGCTTCGGGTATCCAAGTCATTGTGCTTTTGGTCCCAAAAACTATAATTTGAATGATTTATGGCATCTAAAACATTGATGTTGAGACACTTAGTCATACGCTAAAGGATCCCAAAAAACAAAGCATATTTCTTACAGCCTCTAGGGCTCTAAATCAGTACCATTCATGGCTTGTATTATTCATAGACTTGAGGGCCCAAAGTGGGTAGCCTTGATGGACGTAGATCCCTAAGGCCCTGCAAATGAATATTCTTTTGAGGGTTCTATCAGGGTGAGGGTCAGGTGGGGTTGCGGATGTAAAGGTTGGGATGGAGCTGGGCAGCTCAGATGACAAAGGCAGCCACGCTACAAATGCGACCCTGGACATCCACAGTCATGATATGATTGGCATATCGTCCCTGAGCGATTATTTTACTCAGTACATGTTATTCCAGAAACAGGAAAAGGTTTGGGACAAAACCCTGAACCCCAAAACAACCCCATTATAGTAGTTTCCATTTCTTCCATCATCCCAATATATCCTCAATAATACACCCCTATATGACCCCAATGTAACCACATAGCCCCGATATAACCCCCTATATAGCCCCGTATATCCCCGATATAACCCCAATATAACCTCTTTGCTGTATGCCGCGCAGGCGGTGCTGCGGCAAAACGGTGCCGGTGTCGCAGGCCTTGCAGGAGGAGTGCTCGTGAAGCGGATCGAGCCGACTTCGCCCGCCAACGAGCCGCCCTGGATCCAACTTAGTAAGTCCCATAATCCCTATACTTAGACGGGTTTTATAGGGTTATATAGGGGGCTATGTCGCGGTGATATTGGGGTTATATAGGGATTATAACAGGGATTATGGTATAGGAAATCCCTATATAACCCCAATAAAACCTTTGTATAGCCGATAGCCCCTATATAGCCCCTACATAACCCCTATAATCCCTGTAGTTTGTGTACCTTAACCTAGGCTCCTGGAAGCGGCATTACTACTTAGCAACAATTGCGACTTTTTGATCGTAGTGGTTTGGGAACGAAGGCTCCTGAAGGAGCAGGATGTGCTCCTGTCCATCGCGGGGAGACCAATAAGCACAGGCCCCTGTGCCTTTGCAGAGGGAAAGAAGAGGTCTTGTTAGTTGAGATTCTGCAAAACTCGTATTCTTAGTGAGATGAGTTGCATGATTGGCACACTCAAGATTTTCACTTGTCCTTCTTTGTGCAGCGTTGGAGTTCGGGTTTCCCTGCGTGGAAGTCCCAAGCCGTCATCGAGCCTCCTGTAAAGGTGGCACCGTGCACTTCCGACGTGGGGAGCGCATTGCCTTCCCCTACATCACCAGCCAAAGATGCCCTTACGACACGGTTGAGTGCGAAGTGCTCAGGGACAGCAAGGTGGGAACAATGCTGGTTGGGCATGAAGCTGATGTAGAAGCTATGAGATAACAACTGAAAGAGTTATGCCAAGGTGCACCAATGGAGCTTAAAGCTCGGATGGCCAAGCCCACTGGTTCCAATGCATCCCTTGCAGCCACCAGCTTATCTTGTCCTGGCCTCAGCGAGCTCATGGGAGTAGCATTCTGGTACAGGCAGGCAGAAACTGAGGTAACAAACAGGATATATCCAAATCTGGCGTATGCACATGGATGTACGGTACATCTTCTTTGTAGGTAAAGGCAGATGAGCTATCTACAAGTTTGAAAGTACACAGAGAGACACACAGGCAATGTGTCACAACGCACAGAGGTCTGCATGTTTTGTTGATACCGTTAATCTTAATTCTAAAAGCTTCACCTCAAAAGTATCAGATGCGCTCGACTCTGGCCCAAACGAACTGGCGGGTAAAGCATATCCGGGTAGAAAGCTCATCCCCAACTGGGCGGATGATCAACATCAGGCACCGAGGAGTCCTTCGAACAGGAAGGGGTTACACTACGAGACCCTCTATAGCACTAGTTTCCACGTACTTGTCCATTTGATTCTCCGTGATGGTAACTTCGACCAATCCATACATGACCCCTATGTAACCCTTCTCTAATGCAATGTGGTCTGCATATATTCGGTATATACTAAACCCTAAAAAGTGGCTTCCATTTTCTTTTCCATTATCCCTATGTACCCTGTAGAGCCCTATATTAAGCCCTACTGTAAGCCCTTAGCTGACAGATATTTGGCGGCTTGGTCTTTGTGCCGCTTTCGGAGCCTTACTTGCGGTCTGAGTCTGGGCTTGTGTTAAGGTTTGAAACATAAACAAACGAGAGGATCTTGCATTCAAAAGGCTATATTATGGGTATATATGTAGAATGCATCATGGGATCTTGCAATTTGACTCTTGAACTTGAGGTTTGTTTCTGACGAGTAACCCCTGTCATCCCCTGCCAAACTGCATCAACTCGAAGCCTTTTACGGATACCTCAACTTAAACACCCTTTTTTCCTGAACAGTAGCGCAATGCTGAACGTAGCGTACCCAAAATTGTGCGTTGACCTCAAATTTCTAATTACAGCCCCTTTCCAAACCCAGGATAACGGATACACCAACCCTGTCAGCCCTGAATTCCTCAACCCCACATCCTAAATATTTAGAGTAAGCCCTAAAGCGTAGAAACACAAACGAAATCGACTAAACCCTACCCAGGAGTGGGGGGACCTTTTCGAGGAGCGCTCACCCGTTTGCCTGGCCGCGCCGGGGTCAAATTAGTAGTAGCTCAATCGTGGATACTATGGTCAGAGCAAGGTTACATTCTCTTCTTAGTTGATATAAGTAAGGATTCTACAAGAAGACCAAATCCAGCACGAAAATAGCACCCCTCAAAACAGGTTTCTCAAGACGACAGTCACTTTAGGTTGCCAACAAGCCTTGCAGTGATTGATGAATTGAAAGAGGGTAGATTAATTACTACAGGAGGACCTCGATGTTGAGAATTTGCAGCTTCCAAAGGGAAAATCGTTGGTTCGTTTCACCAGCTCCTGCTATGAAGGGAGGTCTGTAAACTGCAGGGGCCATTTGAATCAGCTGTATGTGGGACGTACGCAAGGGACATCTACGGGTACATGAGGTTTTCAAGGCACATGTATCAGGGTGGACGAACATCTTTGGTTGGATACTTGAATAAGGGCCCGTCCATTTTGGATGGGTGTGTCAGGGACCCTACATTTGGAAAACATTGACCTCCGAACAGACGGATCTTGAAGAGATGAATCGGCCTCCTAGGGAATTTAAGGGATTTTGAGGCATCAAAAAGGCATGATGGCAGGAGAAAAGCGTTCAAATGTTTATGTCGGGCTCTAGATCTGAACAAGTCGCAAAACAATCATTTCGGACTCCTGTACTGGCTTGTGAGTTGACCCTAAACCCTAAACCCGGGAATCCGAACATTTCCCAGTTTGAACGTGTAAGGAACCGTGGCTGCGGAATATCCGGAGCTTCCAAGACGAGGAGGTCTGATTTCTCAGGGTTTCTTTAGCCGCGGGGGACTCCCTTTTCCATGTGAGCCATAGTCTAAACTCCTTAAACGAGGTTATGTAGGGGATTCTATAGGGTACTACGATAATGGTTATTGAGGGGGATACTAGGATTTTAGACAATGGCTCATGTGGGAATTCCTTAAATCCTATGTCTCCTTTTTTTCGTGATGTTCATATCGTGGATCATCGTGGATCCTCGCTTTGTTTTAGTTTTTGGGGCGAGTAGGGTATCTATGGCACTATGGGGGTCGCAGAATTTTGACAACGCGCCCGCCATGTGCCATTGCCTCCTGAGAAAGGGGCATGCTGGAATCATAAACGAATAAGATTGGAGCATGCCCATGTATGTTGCTCTTATGTTTCAGGGAGTAACGTTGTTGACACATCCCCAAGTGGCGCGAGGTTGTTGTGCTCTCCTGCGTTTTCGCCTCAGCACTCACAGCCGGCCTGACACACTTCATGAATCGTCGCTTGCACCGATGCAACGGGGTGCAGGCACGGAACACTTGAGCTATGGGTAGCTGCATTTTATTTGATGGGCTATTTTGATGAACAGGAGACCCTTTAACATACTGAATCCGATATTTTGCGTGTACACTCTTGGCTTTAGCAAAGCACGAGGAAGATGTTGGTTTAGATGCAGGCTGTGCAGTTTCTTTGCTTTCCTGAGGTACGCAACCTGCAGCATTTGGCAGAACTGCTGGATACGGCCACGACGTCAACAATCTGGTTTGCGCTGGATGATGACGACGTGATTGCACTTCCGACAGAGCAGGCCCGAGCCACTACAAGGCCAGGGTCCCAAACTTGATCTCCAGACTCGACGAAGTAGTTGCATATGCCAGGTTGGTCTTGGAGACAAATCTCATTCCAGCGGCACGCTGCCTACCGACTCCCAAGTAGCGCCAGGCTTCGGCTCCTTGCCTGGTAAAATAACTGTCCAGGCAACAAGGCGTTCTGGGATCCACACGCTGGAGTTCATAGGGCGGCTCTATAGGCCAACACCCAAGCCGCGGCCGAGGAGGGACTGAATATGACTGAGCACGCACCGAGCATCTTCGGCCATCTCCCCCGCTCTCTGAACAGGCTTGCGAGTCCATGTGGGCACAAACCCGGCACCTCTGCAGCTGCAAGAGAAGTTCACAGACAGGATGGTAGAATGAAACAGGCAGCCCTCCTGTCAATGCACAGAGGTTCTCCGCCAGAGACATGAGTTGCAGGACGCTTGCCTCATCTTGGCTACTTACGATCCTTCTGTTTCTGGAAGGAAGAGACATGGTGAAAGGGGGATCTGCAATGAACCACGCGAGGGCCAACAAGTTTGGCTTCGAGCAGGGCATGCCTCAGACTTCGAGTTGTTGGTCAAGAATTGGGCGAGATGCCATTACGCGAAGGGATGCCACCCAATGATGAAGATTTCTGAGGGCTCCGAAAGTGGACCTGCCAGCTGCACTGTTGGATGAAGAGCAGGGACAAATCTCTGTGAGGCTGCGACTGCAGGCAGGCGTCCCACTGCTGCACATAGAATGCAGGTACTTGAACCCCTTTGCCTCAGCCCATTTTATGATCCTGTCAGGTTAATGTTGAATCCCGATTCGTTTGGGGGTCCGCAATAAAGTAATTTGTTTTGCAAATTGTTCTGGACTATTCGATCCCAATAAAGTAAAGCTTTTTCGGCGGGAAAATTCTAGAGAAGGTTTTGATGAGGCCAATGCTTTTGGTTTTAAAGCCGGGCCTTTACATGAAAGGGACAGGCTCAATTGCCTGCTTAAACCGCTTATTCGAGCCGGCTAGGCAATCAAATTCCAAACAGGGCAGTCCAGCAGAGCCCCTGATCCTGCATAATATGCATGATTTGGGGGGCTCAATAATGTCAAGGACTTTTGGCCGGGTCAATGGTGAGCCCTTCTAATTTGTTTTTGATTGTGTTTAAATCGGCTTTCTCATAGATTCTGATGTGTAAGAGATAACTTTCTATGATTTCAGACAGATCGCAGTTGCATGCAATAGATTTTCAATGTCAGGAAAAGTCAAACCACAGTTGTGTTCATGGCAGTCATGGTTGCAGGCTCTCAGAAGGTCCCTGGGGTCCAGGCACTTTGTGCGCATACCCTGTTCGTAGCATCGCGATGTTGCCTGCAATAGCTCCAGGCATCGCTATGACGAAGACCCCCGATGAAGGAACCCTTCCTCTGAGGACCCGAGTAGTTGGATCCCCATCAGACCTCGGGTTCAACAAATCACGCCTGTACGCCAATTCAGCCCTTGCCTCCCCTCAACCCTGCACCTTAAATATCCCTACAACCCCCCTTGGAAGGGTTTTCAAGGGCATCCATACTTTGAAACATTCCGCAATGAAAGCCTAAGCCATGGCTCTTGCGCCGCTGCTGCGATCTGCTGCCGTGCTGGACCTTTGCGAGGTGCACCAACTTACTGTTGGTTCATGGGGAGTTGAAAAAACGTGAAAGCTGCTATGTTGCTAATTGTTTGTGGAATTCAGGGTTTGTGTAGGACATGGGAAAGACAATTGAAATGTTGCTTCAGGTTAGTTAAGGTTTAAACGGTAAGTAAGTATGGCAAAGAGAATGCCAACTACTGCATTGCCGAGGCTTCAGTTTCTTGAAGGAGTTTGAATCGATGCATGGATCCCCATAGCAGCCCATAAGCAATCCATGTAGACAAAGGTACTTGTAGGGATCCCAGAATTACACGTAAGGTTGAAAGGGGGTTCGGGCCTGTAAAACAGCCACATAATGCCGGTAGAAGATGGTAAGTGTATGGGGCTTAGGGAATTCCGAGAGCTGTGCTGCTTTTGTTTGAGACGCTGCAGGGCGATGTGGTCTTGCCGAGCCACTTCTCGCGTTTGGGAAATGACAAGGAGTCGGAGGACCTACGGCCAAAACTAGCTTCCACCGATGTGGACGCCCGAGTTGTGGGCCTCAGCGCCTTCTTGGAAAATCCGGCAAGGGCGCTGCAGAGTGCTATGCCCTCAAAGGCCCCTAGCCGGCGCTCTGCTCGACTCAGCGTGATTGGCCGAGCTTTAGGAAACAATTCCCTTCCACCACGCGAGTGCTCCCCGAGCCTCGCGGCACTTGCAGAGTCGCTGGCTCTTGCTGCCGGCTTACTGAAGCGAGCAGCAACAGCGCCTTGGAAGGTGCAGCCTCCTTCGCAGCTGTCCAAAGTGGCGGACTGCCTAGATTTCTCCAGCACCTTGCTTCGAGAACTACCACACCCTTGTGCTGAGCCAGGGACTTTTAGTGAAGCAGAGACTCGCGATGAGTTTTACAACTTCCTTGAGACTCTGCTTTGTAAGCTCCGGGATGTGGCAGAGAACCCTGGCAGTCTTGTGATCCTTCCTTGTGCCCCGCCGGCATCCGCACGAAGTCCTGTTCATCCATGTTTTCTCGGCATTGCATACACGTACCGTGACACCAACTTGATATGCTTAGGTGGATGGCTGCGGCGCAGAGTGTCGGCCGCCTCGCTCAGCGACGACCTGGGCCATTGCGTTCTTCTGGTCCTGTCCCGATCCAGCGATTTGAGCAAAGAGGAGTTCATCCTCGGTGTTGTGAACAGCGGTGAGGGGCTTCAATATCACCCGGCGAGCCTCTCGAGGTCACAACCCAACCCAGAGATGCCTTTGCGCCAGTCCCCTTTGATCCTCACTGGTATACCCATGGAGAGAGTCTGCAGCAGTGCACTGTGGTATCTCCTCTATCGACAGATCCTGCACCCGGATCCAGAGAATGGCGCCATGCTAAGCGTGGAGGTTTAGAGTAAGCTTCAGACCTGCTTTCTCCACAGCTGTCGGTGTGCTAAGGACCTGAAGCGATGTACGGCCACCTCCTACCCTTCTTGAGTCAGAAGCCGCTAAGCGTCAATGCTGGGTTTCCTCAGTCTTGGTCAGAGCAGCTCCCTGTGCCTGTGGCGGGCGATCGATCATTTGCCATGGCCGTGGAGCGGAGCGTCCGATTTGCACTGGTGCTCTCCGGCCTGGAGCCCACGGAAGCCAGCTGGTGGAGCAGCGTTGGCCTGCGCCGGGATCCCAGTAAACTCTTTACGCAGAAAGCTTCAGCCCTCTTGAGCTGAGAGAGCTGACAGGTCGGGCCCTTGTGGAGTGCATGCAGGAGGCTCTCATGGTGCAGGGCCTCAGGCCCCCCGCGCCCGCGGAGTTTGCGCTGCTACGCGTGGGCGTGTCCTCATTGGCTCGCTCTGCTGCACGAAGCAAACCTCGGCAAGAGGAGGTCAAGGGCGTCATCGAGCAGGCTGACAGAAAAGCCCTTGCTTTGGAGCATGCGCAGCGGAACGCCCGTTCCGTGCAACCTCCACAGCTTTGGGATGACCTTTGGAGCGCAGCCTCCAGACAAGATTGCCACTTCGGAGGTTTTGGCCGCATGCTGTCGCAGGACGTCGAAGCCTTGAAGGGTGAGGCAATCTGTTCCAAAGCATCATTATAGGCTTGGCCTCAGGCGAATCTAAACCATGTCATCTCTGCAGCGCTCACTGGGGTCACAGGCCAAACCTGGTGCGCTGATCCTGCCGGCTCTTCCTTCAGCTCTGCACACTCAGATCAGCACTTGCACAGAGGCGGGGCCAGCCACGTTGCACTTTCCTGCCAGGATGTCCAAACACGTTTTTGTACTGTCTACTGCTGGATATTGGAATTAGAATTGGGTATCATGTACCATGACGCAGTAGCCAAGGCTGCAGAGTGCTGCCGCCTCGTCAGCAGCATGCTGGCTTTGATGACAAACCAAAGGGATCGACTGCCGCAAGCCTCGGCATCATGCTTCACTCTTGTGGTGCACTTGGTCTGCAGGCTACTTGGCAGAATTCTGGTAGGGTTCCTCTAGCCATGTTGATTTTAGAGCAAACTGTCAAAATTGCAAGGCTGCTTCCCATGCCTTTACCACTTGACGATGACTGCTGGCCTGAGAAGTGCTTCTGGGCTGGGCAGTCGCTGACGCTAGACACGAAACGGGACATCCTGCGGAGCTTGCACCTCATCTCCCGCTACTTTTCTGCGAGTGCAGAAGACCTGCGCGCCACGCGCGAGACGGATGGAGCAAGGACCTGCGTGGCTGCCGCTCTGGTTGTGATGATGGATGCTTTGCTCCGACGTCCCATAGACCTGCTGGAGAAGCGGGAAAAGCAGGAAGCTGTACAGGAGAGACATGGTGACTTGCTCTCCTTGCATTACTCAGGCGCTGCGGGCGGCCCTCACAGTCCTTGCAAGCCCTTCATCTTGGACTCCAGCACTTTTCGAGAGACCTCTGAAGCTCTGCTCCTCCCTCAGCCTGAGTTGGCCCTGCTGAGGGCTCAAGTCCTAGACTACTTTCAGAGCCTGTCCACCCTGGCAACATCCAGCACCAGAGGATCCATGAATGCCAAGCGCCTTTTCCGTCAGCTTACAAGAGCCAAAGAAGTCAAGGAGGAAGAGGCCCAGCAGCATCTTTTCACTTTCGAGAAGGGCATGGTTCTGGGCCCGGCTGATCGTTTGGAGCCTAGTCGTCCAGACTGAACACAACTTGGAGTCAACCCCTAGTATATGTATATGTGGTAGATATAACAATATTATTGTAGATTTGTATACATATACATGTATAGAATATATATGTATGTATATACTTATGTATATATATATATATGTATGGTCTACTTTTCTCAGGTCTTTTTGTCGAGCAGCTTGGGCTCAGCATCGGCTTGGACACCGCAGGTCAGACTGCGTGCCCCCGGCTTGATTTAGATAGACCCTAGTACCCTTTAAAGGGTTTGTAGGGGCTATATAGGGATAATGGAAACGAAAATGGAAACTACTATTTAGGGATCAGGGTTCAGGGCTATATTGGGGTCATATAGGGATAATGGAAACGAAAATGGAAACTACTATTTAGGGACTAGGGTTTAGCGCTATATTGGGGTCATATAGGGATAATGGACAAGAAAATGGAAACTACTATTTAGGGATTAGGGTTTAGGGCTATATTGGGGTTATATAGGGATAATGGAAACGAAAATGGAAACTACTATTTAGGGATTAGGGTTTAGGGTTATATTGGGGTTATATTGGGAGAATGGAAAAGAAAATGGAAACTACTATAGTTTATTAGGGTTCTATTACCAGGGGGTTTCCCAAAATTATGGGTACCTTTTTGGGGGTCCCA